CTCCTTTTCCATTTTGATGTCCTTCTTCCCATGTGCTATTAAGTAGTAATAAGGTACTGTAAAATAGAGTGCCATCTCTGTGGAAACAACTTATATTGATCAAATGGCTTCCTTATCTGTTTGAGCTGTCCCCTGTGGATCTGTTTCCTTTCAGATCCTCTGGTTTTTTACCAGATTTGTGCATATTCTGGATATTTAATAAAATTTCCAGTTTGACTGAGAAAAAAAATGGCTTCCTCATCAGAGCACCATCTATGTGAAATGTTTGTGAGAATTATAAGACATTAAATATGCACAATGTCTCTCTCTAAAAGAAATTTTGTTTTGCATTATGGATAGTCAATTTGGAAAAACCATATTAACCATCTACGTGGACAGATAACCAAGCAATAATTGAGGGTCCAATTATTTTGATGTAAAATATTTTTTGAAATATATTCGCAGGACTTATACTTGTTTGAAAAATAAAAAATTTATTCTAAATATAAAACATTTTATGAATCAAAGGAAAAAATAACCATTGACCAAGAAAGATGTCTCACATCTATGAGAGACATAAGACATTTTTCAAAAAATTAAAAAAAAACTATTATACTAAGTCTAGGTTTGATGAATATAAATATTTAACTTAAAATATTAAAAATTTAAAAATATATTAATAGTTAACTTGAAAATTTTTTAATGAAATTATTCGATGTAATTAAATTTTTTATTTATAAATTGAATAAATCTTACTAATTATTATAAAAAAATATTTTAATGATAGTCATTTGATAAATATATATAAGTTTTGAATGTCTTACACAATTGATAAATATTGATATTTTTATAATATTATGATAAAAAAGTGATAAGATAGAAAATTTTTAAAAAATTAGGGCTTACTTTAATTATAAATACATGGATAAATATTTTGAAAAATATCATTATTGATTTTGTCCTTTTTCATGTGAATTCTTAATTTTAATATCAAATTAGTGAAAAGCAAATGACACCATTGCTTTCAAACAACTTCTATTTATCATATTAACACCCAAATAGCTCCACTAGTGATGATGGAAAATATTTTCCAAAAGATGATCCAAACGATAGAAAATGTTTTCAACAGTTTATCCAAACAAAAAAAAATATTAAATTTTCCTATAAAATATTTTATATTGAAAAAATTTTTCCCAACAAGTTATTTTTTAGTTATCAAACAGACTCTAAGTTTTCATGACAATCAAAAATATTATAACACTTGAGGAAATGCAAATGAGTAATCAACATCTCTATTCTTTTACTACTACTATATGAAAACAGTTATACAAAGATCAACTTTTGGATTAACAATAAGAAATTTGTGTTCTAGCAGCACTAAAAAGACCATTGATACTACTAAAGATTTTGATCTATATGTGCTTGGAGAATTATAGTATTAGTTAACCGCACAAGGAACCAGTTTTGTTGCTAATTTTTGTGCTAGCTATTGTAGTGACCAAGATTCTTTACTGTGATGCGTCCTCAAGCCTTCCATTTCAAAGATGTTTGTATTGATTTAGAGTTGAGGGTTGGATTTGTTTCAGCTAGAGATAAGGGAACAATTGGCAAAGTTAATGGAGATGATGATAAGAGCTGTTCTTTTCTAAAAGAAGAAACCAATAGCTTATTTCAGTAAAAAGATTAGTGATTCAAGATGCAAATGGACCATGTATGATAAAATTTTATTCTATAGTGCATGCTTTGAA